CCCTGCCCCTAGTACTTATAAGCTCGGAGTGGCTGCAGCTCCATGCTGTAGCCACCTGGGACTGCCCGAATCATCAAAGCTCTCCACATCTTTTCCAAAGATGTGGAGAGCTTTGAATTGATTTGGACCTTTACATTGGTCCCCTGATTCGATACAGATTTGGAGACCCAGCCACCGATTTGGGCCAAATCTCCTTTGAATCGAATCACCACCCAAAGCTTTGCACAGCCCTAGTATGTGTACAAATGCCCATAGTCTACCCAGTGAAACTAAGTTACAACTATGCATACAGGAAGATGGACTTCCTAACTTGAAAATGTTTTTAACTGCAACATTATGATGCGTGATATGGAAAAAGTAACACTTAATATCTTTGGGGCAGTAATATTTAAGGGGCAAATCATTAAGCAAGTTAGGATTTCCTCTGTTAGACTGAATTATTTTGCCTCTTGTCTATAAAAAGAATGATCTGATCCTGCTAGAACAACCTGGTTACAACCTTGCTCCTTGCTCTTAAATATAAAATGTCATCTTTTGGCTTCCTCATTTATTCTGAGACTCATTCAATTTCAGCCTGCAAATGAAAATACATTTTCTTAAACTTGCTGATCTTGCAGTCTGGGAGGACACCTTAAATTTGATACAATCTGTTTCACTTACCTTGACTATCTGGACCGACATCCAACAAAGGATGATTATAAAAAAGAGCCTCAAATTGGATTAAATGCTTGCAATTAAATATATAATTATCTTCCAAATGTGAATATATAACAAGAAGGTACAATGGAAAATTGTGTTTTCTTTGTAGAATGTAAATTGCAACTGCTATTAAAAAGCAGTGGCAAATATGTGTATGTAGGTGTGGGTAAAGAGACACGCACAGAAGCTTCCTATGTACCCAAGGCATTTAATTTTATTTTTAGATGTATTTTAGTCACTCTGTACTGTAAAAATAACAAACATATTACTTCAAAAAGTATGTGGCTAACTTGAGCCTTTATAAGTTCCTTCTAGCTTATCAGTGCTATGCAGATACTTTCATGGTACAACATATTTGGTCTTTATTGTTCTTTTCTAAATGTTATAGTTCTGTCCTTTTTCTCCCTTTCTTTCCTGTAACCAGAGTTTTATTTCTAAGACCTTGTGTGTTATATTATTGTAAAACAGGAAGATCCAAAGAGATTTTAATGTCCTGGCACCATTACCTAGTGATTAGAGCAGGGAGCCATAGCCATAGGTGGATCTACAATTTTGAAAAGTGGGGTGCAGATGGTGAGGTGCATCATCACACATAAAACAGCCCATATTTTTCTCCAGTTAAAAATATACTAGAAGCTTTACTAGTATGCTGTGGGGCCAAGGGCTGTATTATTCCGTTTTAAGACTGAAGGAAAAATAAATATAACTTGATTGAAATTAAGTCAAAAACAGTCTGCAGGGCTGTGAAATAGGAGCTTTGCTGAGCAGCTACCAGACAGTGGAACTGCAGAACAAAAGATAGCTTGATTCATGAAACCTCAAGGCCATTAGAAAGAGGAAAGGGTTGGTAACACCTGTGGATGAAGAGGTCTAGAAGGGATCAGAGAGATTATAATGAGATATGAAGTGAAGTGACTCCCTTAGCACTGCCTGACTAGAAATGCTGCTGCCATTGCCAATGTTTTTAAATTTTGGGTGGACCAGGAATCAAAGGGGGGTGCAAGTGCACAAGTGCACTCCCCCTATGGATCCACTCCGGCCTATAGTTCAAGTGACTGAGGTTTTAATCCTGACTCTGCCACTAACTTACTGCATAACCTTGGGCAAGTCACTTAATTACTCAGGGCCTCAGTTCCCCTAGCCACAAGTGATTTGTAAAAGGTTTGGGATCCTTGAATGTAAAGCCCTCCCTAAGGGCATGACAGGGCATCATGTTCGGATGCTGCAAAGAAACTATGTAAATCACTGTTTTTAAAAATCTCCCATTACCTTTCTAGCCTCTGCATGGTCATGGCCAGTGTCTTGTTCAATTCCTCTATCATCCGGCATCCGGAAGGGTGAATGGGTAATGAGCTGGATCCAGAAGGCAGGTGCTGGCTGTGGCTGCCATACTGAAGCTGGTGCTGGTGGGCTGCTAACTGGGATGGCAGTACAGTGTGATGGTGCTGAGCCAAGGGCTGCTGGGAGCTCTTCTGTGTGGAATAAGATGCGAGAGAGAGGTCTGGCCCCCCTAAAGGCATGCATATCATGACTTTCTTTGGAGGTAGCGGAGGTGACAGTTTAACTGGCATACAAGGCAGTTTCACAGGCGCGCCAGGATCTAGAACATAAGGATGAGAGGCACAGCGGTAAATTTTTGTGGAATTAGAAAGAAGACCACATTATCTCTTTGGTAGTCAGGTTACCAGTAATGACAATAGACAAGTTTCATTGGATGTATCCCTTTCCTGGCATTGACAGAAGATATTTTATCACATAATACAACTGTTTTCAGAAGGCATGTTCTCACTTTGCCACATTTTTGAGCCCCCTGAAAACAGTTCAGTGTGGTGCTTGCCCTCGAATGGTACGTTATGTTGCACTTAATTTAACAACAAGATTTATGTGCTGCTGTTCATTTTCAAAACACTTTCTACCAAAATCTGGTCCCAAAAAAGCCCTGCAAGCTGAGCATTTCCCAGGTAACAGACGCATAAAACTAAAGCAGAGTGATTGGGTGCACAGACTCACAACATGAATCGCTGCCATCACAGCTTGGATTAAAACTACCTGATTCCTACTCCTCTTGCCTGACAACTGCAGATAAAACCTTTCGAATTTTTGCAGAGCATTTGGTTAAGGAAACATTTCATCAAAGAAAAATGGCATAAATGATAAAGGGAGATAATTTAGTAAAGCAGCAAAAATGACTGATTCATTTATAGAACATCTGGCAAATATATGTTTTTTAGGATTCCTGAAAACTCATGATATTTTCAGGAATCTTTCAGGGAAAGTTTTTTGCTGGGCTCTGTGGGGACTGAATAACATTTCAGAGGTGCATGTAATAGAGATGTTTATAAGCAAACAAAATTTCAATGCACTGGCTGTCTGCACTCAGCTGTAAGAAGGAGACTTGTTGGGCTGTTTTCTGAAATAGGTTTAAAAGGTAGCAGAGAAACAGGGGTGTCAAAAACAGGAAGGTCAAAGAGAATTAGTCACCAAAGGTTATGAGGACAGAGGAAGACAGAGTATACACTAAGTACTGAGGTCATGCCATAGGGCTATTTGAGGTTGTAGGAAAGGATAGAGGTGAAAGTTTCTTTAGTAGAAGACAGGCCTGAATAAATCACAGACACTCAAGTCCTGCAAAGGAGTTCTGATAGCATGACATTTGTGCAGTTTGGCCTCTATTCCTGAAATTCCTGCACCTTGCTACAACTCGAGAAAGAGATTAAAGTGCCAGCCACTTGCTTTGACCTGGCAAAGCTCAGCGGGCAAGATGATGCAGCCCAGGTTTCAAAGGCCATTGCACGTTCATGAACTGCAGCACATTTTTTAAAAGCCCTTCTCCAAATAACACATGTTATTACTAGCTATTCACAGGAGCTTTTTGCTTTCTGTATCTATAACTGCTTGGCTGGATATTTTATTTGCCTGAACCACTGTGCGCTGACTAGAGAGAGGACAGGGGGATTGATGCTGGGCCCCTTCTCCTGTAATAGCAAACTGAACAGAGACACTCAGCTGGAAGAGGATAGTAAACAGAGACAAAATTCAGGGTTTTTTTCACCATTACTGCTTACATTTGACTAGCACCTCCAGGTCTCACTGTGCTGGGTTCTGTGCACACACAACAGAGACAGTGCCCTCCCCAAAAGACTTTTAATTCCATATTTTCTCATGTACAACACACCCAAAAATAAGACATGTGCCTTGATTTTGGCAAGGAGAATACAGGGGAAAAAAAGATTTTTCCAGAGTCATGGCTGACTATGTGACACAACTTAAGTCCTCCTGGGAGTGCAGAGTATCCAGGAAGTTCATCTGCCCCATGCAGATTGTCTCCTGGGATGCCACACTTCCTAGACAGATGTTTCCAGGAGGATTAGGTCCCAGATCCTTGTGGGGGCAGTAGCAAGACCATTAGTTCTTTACTTTAAGTAGTTCTTGATACAAGTTCCTGTAAATAAAGTGTTGTTTCCACATCACATGCCTCATCAAGAAACTACCAGTCCCCTTGCTGTTTCAGGCACAATCTACAGTGCTCAGCCAATAGCTATGGCTGTGAGAAGGTTAACACAGGACTCTGCCATCTTGGTAGCTGTGTGGCATGCTTAGTGGCTCCAGGCTTCTTCTTTTCCAGCGAATAAAACATCTAGCTTCCCTGTTTCACACATGCGCCCAAATTTTGGGGACAGATTTTGGGAGAAAAGGTGCATGCTGTATGTGAGTAAATGAATAAATTAGATATGGGTGTGAAATGAAAGAGTCACAGAGAAGGGAATGTCACAAATAGGGCTAGTGGCAGAGCCAGGAACAGAACCAAAGTCTTTTGACTTGCAAGCTAGTGTTGTATCTACCAGACCACACTGCCTTCTCTCAAGACAACAGTTTCATTTACTTGTATCCAGTGCTGAATGTGGCCCTGGGAATGGCCAGCAAATGCAGCACCACCTCTGTCTCTTCCTGCATGGACTGACTGTCTTCAAAATGCAGGCTATCTTTTACACATTGCAAAAACACATTTTCATTTTTTCTACTCAAATACAGAAGAGGCTGAACTGCAACATTTTTGATGCACACACAACATGCACTCTAGCTGTGTACATTTTATATTCGTACTCTGCACAAAAGAACACTTTGTCTTTAACATATTGTCAAAGGAATGATGAAGTGTTAATTGAATAAAACCCAGAGAATTAGGCTTCTGTGAGATCTGTAGTAGCAAAACATGCTAAATATATTAGTGCTTCAGGCTAATGGAAATGGGTCTGGGCTGCAAAACTCAGCTCCACAGCCACGCTTCCCTTAATTTCTGGAATATTTAGATTTGAGGTGTCCAGTTTGGCTTCATCTCTGGTATGGTTCAATGCAGAGGTGGAATTCTGCAAGGCAGTGTTACCACAATCCTGGACCATGCTCTGATCATGATGCCAGGGAATCATCCTCACTGTGAGGTTCAAAGTGATCCCATCCCACAGAAGCTGCACATTCCTTCTTCTGACTGAATTAAAATTGGAAGCACCAGCTGAGTTTGCTACCTCCTATTCTTAAGTATTAAAAGAGCTGGTTGTAAATTGGGAGTAATCTGTCAAAGCATTTTGGGCACAGAATAAATAGAAATGCTTCAATTTTTCCTTTATGTTAAAAAGGAAAGGTTTGTTTCCTTTCTGAATGTAAGTGGTCTGCTTTTAGATTTACAGACAAAACACTGTAGTTATGGGGAAGTCCATGGGAACTACAAAGGGAAATACAAAAATGTAAATGGAGTGCATAAAACATACATTAAACTAAGAACATTTAATTTAATTGTTTGAAACCTTGTTCATCACATAGGTAAGATGTTTGTTTTTTGTTTAACTATATAGGGCTAAAGGCTGGGTAGAGCTGTACCTTAAATATTAACTAAATTAGAGATGCATAAGCTTTCATAAGCAACAGCTTACTTTGTTAGATGCCATCAGGATAATATATGTCAGCATACCTTCATGGAAAATGGTAATAGAGACACTCCAATTTAAAGAGAAAAATGTACTACCTCAGGCAAAAAATTTCTTCCTTGCCCTTTACCATTAGGACAATTTTCCTTGTCTATTAAAAAAAATTACTGAAAGGAGAAACATCACAGCACAAGGCGAGTTTGACTCATTCACTCAGATAAGTCTGTCTTCAAGGATATTGGTAATGGATTAAAAGGAGTCAATGGGCCTCACCCTGGAAGTTTTACTCAGTTCAATGAAGATTTTGAATGAGTAGGAAATTCAGGATTTGCCCAAATTCATGGGCTAATTTCTATTTCCAATTACATTAGCGGAAACTCTATTGTCTTCAGTGGAGCTTATCCAGTGTTAATGAGAAGAGAATTTGACTTTGTTTGTAAGAGACTGGGATAAACACAGTCTATGGCTTTTTTTAACGCCGCAATATTTTCCAACATAATATGTGTGTCATGCATGAAGACATGAACAGTCTCCACCAAGGACTATCCATCGTATGTATACATGTGTAGGCAAATCAAAGGCAGGTGACAGAACAAACAGGAAATCAGTGCTACAAGTCCTCCCAGTGGAACATTACCACAATCTTAAATTTTTGCACAAAGTACTGACATGACAGGAGAGCAGCACAGAACAGGTTTGTAAGTCTGATTTATCTTTTCTAGCTGAAGTTCCTTATAGTAAGTGTTATATATCATAGACCCAATTATGCAAGAAGCTGAGTCCCTCAAATCCCTCTGAATCTAGTGGGAATCAAGACCACTCAGCAATTTGCCCTGCCCAAGCAAAAATTAGTGCAAAATATATTAGAAAATTAAAACTTGCCACTGTTTACACAATAGCCAGAGGGATGAGAAGCTCTTTCAGTGCTTGGGCCAGGGTGCAAAGTGCTGCTCGTTGTGCCCCATTTCCTTCCCCTTTCCCCCACAGGGTGAGGGTTGCACTTCCCATGGCAAAGCCTGGGGGATAGGGGTGTCATTCAACCCCACTACCACTCTGGATGTTGCATCTGCCTGGCTATGCCTGCTCAGCTTTGTGCCTGCTGCAGGAAAGACTCCTGGGGGGAGCAGGCCAAACTGGTGTCCTTCTAAGTTGGCAGCTGGGGCTGGCGCCCCTCTTGCCCCATCCTAGTGACACTGCTGGATGATAGCTATCCAAAAATACAGCAGATGATAAGACATGCCACATCAGATGAACGACATTGACTGATGTGTCAAAGGAGGGCAACTCCTCTTTCTTCCTCATAACGCCCTTTGCCAAGTGTGACATGTGAATGGGAGAAAACTCCCCTCATGGCACATACTGTGACCAAGAATTATATTTTATTTCCTTTCTTGTAGACAGTTCCTCTTTAGCTCTGGTTCCAGTATTTACCCTTGTGAGGTTTTTGCAGAGATGAATTCTATGCTTTGCCTGTATGCAGGAAGTCTGTTGCCTGTGCGCTTTGCCCGTTGCCAAGGGGTAGGTTGCTTATATGAGAGCCAGAAAACCAGAGTTTTATTCTTGACATCCATTGTGTTGATTCAGGCAAGCTGTTTTATCACTCTCTGACTTCCATCCTAGATTGGCAAGTTGTTTTATTGCTCTCTGACTTCCCTGCCAGATCCTCGAAGAGGCCCTG